GCGACCAACGACATCGCCACCATTCAGCTGCAATTGCAGCAGCAGCTTTCCCCCTCAGGAATGACGATCACCACAACAAGCGTGATCAACAACGAGGGGGGGGTGTGGGTGATCTGGCAGGAACCCTCCACCTTCGGCAGTTTGGCCGCAGGTAGCGACAACTGTCCTGCGGCCGTGACGGCACTTGCGCTCACGCCCGCACCAAGATGTGTCTATATGCCGTTCAAGTTATGAAACGCCCTTTCCTCCACATCGGCACAGGCCAGCGCGGCGTCTCGCTGATCGAGCTGATGGTCTCCATGACCATAGGCCTGATCATCATGATTGCGGTGATCAGCGCCTACCTGGGTGCATCCGGGGCCAGCCGCACGGCTGAAGCCATTGGGCGCATGAACGAAGACGGGCAGGCAGCGCTAACCATACTGACCCAGCAGCTGCGCATGGCGGGCGTCAATCCGTCACAGCCAGACCGCTACAGCGTCACGCTAGGCATCAGCGCCCGTGGCAACACAGTGCCCCTACACAACTCCGTCACCAATGCATTTGCCGTTCGCGGATGCGACCTCAGGTTCACCGACGTCTCCACCGCCCTGTCGACTGCCGCCCTCACCTGCGGCCATGGCGCGACAAGCGTCGGCCCGGACGCGATCTCGATTGCCTACGAAGCAGACCGCTACAACACCGTCCCCTTGGCAAACGGCCAACCCACGGATTGCATGGGCAGTGGTCTACCTGCAGTTGCAGTCGCGGGCTACCGAAATGCGGCAGGCGTGGCTCCAGCCAACACCACTTTTTACGAAGCGGAAAATCGCTTTTTTATAGGTACATCAGCCTTCGTGATCAACCCCACCCTCTACTGCAAGGGCAATGGCACCGCAAATGCCCAACCTCTCGTCGAAAATATAGAAAATCTGCAGTTCAGCTACGGCACGGTCAACCCCAACACAACAACTTCGCCGATTTACGTCACAGTTACCCCGACATTCACCACAACCCTGGTACTGGGCTACCTTTCGGCCTACGAGCTTGAAAACTACAACACCGCGCCGCTGGATACCAGTTCGACAGGATTTGGTCCAACAGGAGCTACAGCCAAGCGCTGGAATGCAGTCAAATCCATCCGCATCTGCGTGATTGCCCGTAGCGAACAACCCTTGGCAGATTCACTGGATTCAGCCCGTTACCTTGACTGCAACGGCACACTCACGGTGCCACCCGACAGGCGATTGCGGCGGGCCTACACGACCACCGTTGTACTCAGAAACCAGTAGCACCCATGGCCACCAGACCTATCATTAAACACCATCGCCTGCAGTTGCAGCAGCAGGCCCGCGAGCAACGGGGCGTTGTGCTCATCATGGCGCTGATCATGCTGGTCATCATCTCGCTGCTCACAGCGGTCACCGTGCGCAATGCCACTTCAAGCGAAGGCATCAGCGCCAATGCGCGCCAGACCCAGCTGGCAACCCAGGCTGCAGAAGCCGCGCTCAGGTACTGCGAGCAGGGCGTGATAGATTTTCTGTCTGCCAGCACCAGTACATTCGTCTTCAGTGTGGTGGCACCGCCGAGTGCAAGTACTGCCACCATTTCGGCCACCCACTTTCAGGCAGCGGTCACGACAACCCCCACGTCAATGATCACGGCCAACTGGGATACCAATTCAGGTACAGCCAACACCATTCTTGTACTGCCCACGTCGTCGGTTAACCGTGCGGGCATCACCACCACGTTTTCGCGACCACCTGAATGCATGATCGAGCGGCTATCGCCTTCAACATCAACCATGTACTCCAAGAGTTTCACCATCACTGCGCGTGGATTTGGACCTGAAGTTGCCGCAGCTGATGCAAACCGCAGCCGACCCGTCGGCAGCGAGGTGTGGATGCAGTCCACCCTGGAACTCAGATAACGCAGGCATTCAATGAGGCCCATGATGACCAAACGCACAAATAACCCGCTCACCAACTGCCTCAAGTTGATCATCGTGACCTGGGTGATGCTGCTGTCGTGCACACATCACGCGCAGGCACAAATGGCCCAGAGCCCCTTGTTGACTCAATCCGGGGCTGTGGAATCAAATCTTGTGTTGATGTTTGATGACTCCTTGTCGATGGTTGCCCAGTTCATTTACCAGTACGGCGGCCAGGACAATGGCTACGGCCGCACCGGCCCAGGCACTGTCGCTGCTGCCGGAGCATGCCCCGTGACAAGCCCGGCCAGCACAGGTGTAAGTTGCGCAGGTACTTCCGGCAACAACTACCCCTCCAGCCCCAGCATCACCGTCACCGGAACCTACAACGCGCCACCCTCATTCTGGTACTGGGAACTGTCGCCTGATGTGAACGGACTTTATTACGACCCCAGGGTAACCTATAACCCGCGCGTTGACGCCTTGGGTGCATACAGCACACCAGGCACCACATCGACAACAGCTTTCAATGTTTATTTTTACCGCAACAGCTCTGGCAACAATGTGGCCTGGCCCGGAAGCGGCCCCAGCCCCACGACAACCGCAGCCTTTTTTGATCCGTATACGCCAGCCACCTCGTTACTGGCACCAGATGCACAACCGTCGCTCAGTTATCCAAGAGGGGTTTCCTCAACCACTGGTCCTTTTCCGAAGTTTCTGAATCGGACGGACTGCACCGGTACAAGTGGCTCGGGCGCCAACTGTACGTTGGCTGATGAACGGCAGAACTACGCGAACTGGAAAAAATACCACAGCAATCGCATGGACTCCGCAAAAACCGGTCTAGGTTATGCATTCTCGGGCATGACTCAGTCCATACGGCTGGGCTGGTCAACGATCAACAACCTTAAGAGCTCCAGCACCCTGGATTCAGGCGTCGGCCTTTACACACAGACCCAGAAAAATGCCTTCTATAACTGGCTGTACGCTCTGGATACCAATTCGGGCGGGACCCCACTCCATTTCGCCCTCGACAATGTCGGCAAATACTTCTCACGTTCTGACAATCTGGGGCCCTGGGCCAACACGCCAATTACAACGTCGAGAGGCATCAGCACGCTCGCCGTATCGACCACCGACACATTAGCCATTCGTAGAGATCAATACTCTTGCAGGCGGTCTTTCGCCATGCTGACGACCGACGGTTATTACAACGATGGCAGTGCCGGCTCCAGCCCATTCTCGGGTATTGGCAATGTGGATAACACTTCTGCGGGCCCCATCACAGGGACCACTGCCACGGGTGACCCTCTCTCTTACAGCTACAGCCCTGGAAGACCTTACTCAGATAGCCAGTCGAACACTTTGGGCGACGTAGCAATGAAGTACTGGATCACTGACCTGAGAACAGACCTTGACAACAACGTCAAGCAGATTCAGGCCACCGTGATCGCTGGCGTTACCACCACGGTAGCCAACCCGTCATTCTGGCAAAACATGAGCTTTTACGCAGTAGGCCTGGGTGTCAACGGTACGCTGGCGCAAACCGCCACCACCCTCGCATCCCTTACGTCCGGGGGGACTTCCTGGCCAACTGTAGGCGATGAAGACGTGACAGCCGTAGATGACATGTGGCATGCCACCATCAATGGCAGGGGCCGCGTGTTGAGTGCAAAAAATGCAGGCACGTTAAGCGATGCAGTAGAAGGCATGCTGGCAGATATCAGCCGAAACACTGCATCTCAATCGGGCGTGGCGGCATCAACAGCAGGTCTCAGCACCGGAACCAGAAAATACGCTCCAAGCTACACCACTGGTTCATGGATCGGAAATGTCGTTGCCACTACTCTAGACGCCACCAGCGGCAGAGAGATTTCCGTTACGTGGCAGGTGGTGGGCACCAATCCCGCCAATAGCGCCACTTACAGCGGCATACCGGCGTATTCGTCCCGAAATATCTACGCCTGGAATGGCTTGACCATGGGCAATTTCAATGCATTGAACACCTATGCCATGGCAAACGTGGTGGGCGCAAACACCAACCTGATCAACTATCTCCGGGGTGACCAGACCAATGAAGACCCCAATGGCACTGCGCTGTACCGCCCACGCGAATTTTTGTTGGGGGACATTATCAATTCGACTCCTGTATTTATCAAAGGTGCATTTAGTGGGGGTTACACCAATCTGCCTGCCGGCACCTATGGGCAGTCAACATATGCAAGCTTCCTGACCACCAAGGCCGCGCGCGCAGAAGGCGTTCTGTTTGCCGGCGCCAATGATGGCATGTTGCATGGATTCAGGGATTCGACAGGTGCCGAAGTTTTTGCCTTTGTCCCCAGGGCCGTGATGCCAAACTTGCACCAGCTGGCCAAAAAGAGCTATGACCACCTGTATTACGTGGATGGCCCCAATGTGGAAACCGATGCCTGCTTGAGCGGGGGCTCAGCCTGCACAACATGGAGCAACCTTCTGCTGGGCACAACTGGCGCGGGCGCGAAATCAGTTTATGCCCTTGACGTGACAAATCCCATGTCCATGTCAGCATCAAACATTAAATGGGAAATAACGCCTTCGACCACCGGCTATGCCAGTCTGGGCCACATTCTGACCGAGGTTCAAACCGGGCTCACCAAGAGTGGGCAG